AAAGCTGACTAAGAGAAGATTCTGACTCCTTGCACCATCATTTTTCAAAAACCTCAGAAGATATGAACAGTCATTTCCCAGTGCCACATAAACTAAAAATAAACAGTTTTATAAACAGTAAGCTAAATTTGCAGCAGCAGCAAAATACTTTATGGAACTTATTTGAAGATAAGACATATGAGAACAAGCAACAATTTTATGGCCTTTTATTTCCTTTTAAAAGCCATGTCCAATAAAAATAGAACTGGAATTACTTTATGTCTTAGCAGATATCCTCATAGATGTTTAAAAAGCAGCATTAGAATAATGAGGCAAAAAAATCATGATTACCTCAGGAGATGGAAAAAAAAGCTTTTAATAAAATTTAACATCCTTTCAAGATTAAAAACCCACCAGGAAGAGAAGGAAATTTTTTTTCTTAACCTGATAAAAAATATTTACAAAAACTCTACAGCAAATACTATGTTTCACAGTGACAAGATGAAAGCTCTTTTTGAAAAGGTATAAGACATGATGACCACTATCCCCACTTCTATTCAATACAACACTGGAGATCCTAGTCAGCAGAATAAGGAAGAAAAGAAAAAAAAAAAGATGAAAAGGTACAAGGACTGGAAAGAAATAAGCAAAATGGTCACAGATAAAATGTCAGGAGCGTAAGCATTAAATATGAACTCTGTTTTTGATAACAAATAAAAACAAAGTTATTTTCTATATAACACCAATAAATAAAAATGATTCCAAGTACCATATTAAAAAAAACCAAACAGGTATCTAGGATTGGGGTATGGTTCAGTGGTAGAGCACTTGCCTAGTATATGTGAGGCTTTGGGTTTGATCACAAGCGCCACACTCACAAAAAAAGACAAATATAACATAAATCCCACATATATCTAGGGTAAAATTTATGAAAACATATGTAAAACTTCTATGGGGATAGAATTATAAATGTTCACTGAAAAACTTCAAAGACCTAAAGAAATGGAGAGAGATACCATACTATGGCTAAAATCTGATACTGTAAAAATGTAAATTCTCCTTAAACATTCCATGGATTTGATGCAATTCCAATCAAAATCCCAACAGGGATGTGTGTAGATCATTTATAAGCAGACTCTAAAAAGGAGAGAACAAGAGCAGCCAAGCTACTCTTAAAGAAGAAGAAAGTGGGTATGTTTTCCTCTCTTTAAGATTTTTTTTTTACATTTGAATCAGATGAGGTATAATTTCTCTCTCAACAGTTTTAAAAACATCCTAAAAAACTATAGCAATTAAGACAGTGTGGTATGGAATAGAACTAGAAAAACAGGACAGAATATAGAAACAGAGCCACATAGATATGGATTCTTACATCATTATAGAGGTGGCACTA